TACTCGACAGTGGCATTGTTTTTTAAATTGTTATTATAAAGGTGATGTACAGAGGGATTACTGTTTAATAAGTCAGGTAAAGAGTACATTTCTGTTTGAACAATGTCACCCCTTCCTTCGTTCTCTCCCAGTTTTTCCCTCCTCTCTCCTCCCATAAGTTGTATAGTTCATTTTCAACATCATTCCTACTGACCCATGCAGCACCATTGTAAATTCACTTATTGCAGTAATTGCTTTAGAGATTCTTTCAGATTTTCTATGGTAGAGACCAATTTTTTTATATCTGTGTTTATTTGTTTTTTTTAGCCTTGCTCTGTCTTACTATCTAGAATATCTGGACATCATTAACAAAAACAGCAAGACAATTAGGCATGGTTGCAGGTTGCTTAACTGTGCTCCCAGCCTCTCAGAGGCTGAGTCAGGAGGGTCCACTGCAGCTGGGATTTGGAGGGCAGCCTGGGCGACATTGCACAGGCCACATCTATTCCCGCCTCCCCCTCCCTCCCCCCACGGCCCCCCCACGCATAATAAGATAGAGCAGGCTTTTTCTTGATCTTGGGGAGAGGAAACGCACACCAGTCTTCCGCTGAGGTAAGAGCACAGGGAAAGAACTCAGACTATTGTGTGCTTGGAGCGGAGGGGCATCAGCGCCCACTCATGTTTTCACTCTAACACTTTGACACTAGGTGTGTGAACGTTTTTTCCTCACACCAACTACTTCTCTAGACTGCACTGGTTGGTGTTCAACAGCTGACTCAAGCTGCGCTCCCTTCCCGGAGTCAAGCATCCCTCAGGACCACGAGCCCACCCTCCAGCCCCAGCTCCACAAACCCCAGAGGCAAGTCCGGGGCGCTTCCCGGACCTGCACACTCTGTCTCCTTCCCAGGCCTGCCGGCTCAGCCGCTCAGCCCCTGCCAGTGGCTTTGTGTGTTGCTCCTGGGTGGTGGTTGTTACTTTCACATTTAGTCTCTCAGGGGGTGAAATGAAACTTACTAATATTTTTTAACATAATTTGTTTGATTCATGACATTTTCCCTATAGGTATTTTTAGACACTATAAAGTATCCTTTCGTCCCTCTGTATATGTTTTAGGTATTTGTATCATTATCATTAAGGAGTTGTTCAAGGGGTCACACTTCCATGTCAGGTAATGAGTTCAATGCTTCTTGGACAGTTTCACCCCTCCCTTTACTTTCCCCCATGTCCCCATCCTGTCACTGCCCATGAGTTGCTTAGTTCATTTTTTGCATAGTGTATATTATATTGCTCTCTGTATGTCTTGTGGTGATTGTCTTTTATTTATTTTTATTTTTTTTGTCTGTGGTGGGGCTTGAACTCTGGACCTGGGCGCTGTCCCTCAGCTCTTCAGTTCAAAGCGAGCACTCTACCACTTGAGCCACAGCGCCACTTCCGGTTTTCTGGTGGTTTATTGGAGATAAGAGTCTCATGGACTTTCCTGCCCGGGCTGGCTTTGACCCTTGATCCTCAGATCTCAGCCTCTTGAGTAGTTAGGATTATAGGTGTGAGCCACTGGTGCCTGGCTGTTTTGCTTTTTTTATTTGTTAGTTTTATTTTGTATGCTGGTCCAGGGGCTTGAATTTAGGGCCTGGGTGCTGTTCCTGAGCTTTTCTGTGTAAAGGCTAGCCTTCTACTACTTGAGTTGCAACTCCATTTCTGGCTTTTTTGTGGTTAATTGGAGATAAGAGTCTCATCCTGACTTTGAACCGCGATCCTCAGACTACAGCCTTCTGAGAAGCTAGGATTACAGGCATGAGCCACCATCTTTTGCCTTTTTATCTTATCTTTTTCTTTCTCTTCTCTTTCTCCTCTCTCTCTCCCCCTTCTCTCTTCCCTCTTTTGCTTTTGACATGGTCTTGGCTGTGTAGCCCAGGCTGGCCTTAAATTCCAGATCCTTCTGTGCCAGCATTCAAGTGTAGGCCACCAGCTTGTTCTGGCTCTTTCTAGGTTGCCAGTCTGGGTCTCAATGGAAGTTTTTCCCAGTTAACCCCTGACTCTTTCTGCGATTTTGTCTATGATTTGTCACCTGACCTGTTTTTATCCATCCCTGTGACCACACAGTACCACCTTCAAGAGGATTGCTCACTCTAACAAAATCAGCTCTTAGCATTTTATACATTAGTAATCTGTATTATTAATTCCTTCAGCAAACTTCCCGACACTCCAAAGGCATTACAGATGAAAGTTGAAAGATCAACGTCTCTGGAATCAGGTCGCTTAATTCTAGGTGGGAAGAAGATGAAGTGGAGGCAAACCTCAGGGACCAGGTGAGAAGGAGGGCGGGCCACACTGAGGTAATTGTTACAAAGGCCTAACAAGGCCCAGTGTGGAGTTGAGAGAAGTGTTGTATAATTGGCCCAAAGCTGTGTCTGCAGGGCTGTCATCCCTGGAACATCATGGCCCTGTGTAACATTGTGTAATTCCTGTACCAGTCTACCTTGCCCGGGGAAGAATTCAACAAAATCTCCAGAAGCAGCAACAATTTAGGGACGAGTATTCCTTTGTTAATAAGACATAGTAAATGAATATTTGTATAATTAATGATGATATAAAACAGCCTTGCTTTTATAGACTCTTCTGACCCACAATAATATAACAAGGTGGGTAGAAGTTGAAAACTTGCCATTCGAGGCCAGCTGGAGTTCTGCATTCTACACTGGCAGCCCAGTCCCAAGAGCAAAGCTTGGTGAGACTCCTCTCCACTGACCCTCAGCCCGGGACTCCTCTCCCATGACCTCTCCAACACATAATATATGGATAATGCTTAGATTTCATGTTTAAAGAGACTCCAAATAGGGAGAAAGCTAGAAGTTTTTGATTCTAAGCAAAAAAGAAAGGGAAGAATTCATATGTTCATGATAATGAAGATATGGATTTGCATCTTCAAATCTTATACTACATAAGAGTCTAGAAAGTGATCGCAGTAAACCTTCACTGCTGTGTTACAGTACTAATTCCAGTCTTCAAGTTTTATGTGGGGGTGACTTTAGGCTTGTCCCCTACCCAGTCACGGGTTCCACGGGGAGAGGGTGCTGCCTCCTGTTCACACCCAGCGGCGACGGTGCAGGACCCCAGGCTCAGACCTATCCGCCCACCTCCAGTCTGTCTTCTGTGACAGCCGCTGGCCTGTCTAGACAAAAGTGGCATTTGGCCAAGGACAGCACACAGGCCGCACACCCCAGTCTGAGGCTACACCAGGGACAGCTGAGGCAGGGTGCGCACGACCCAGGGTTACGTGGACAAGTCGAGTCTCGGACCTGCAGGCCCAAGCCCTCCTGAAGTCCTGCATTGGCTCCTCAGCCTGTCCTGGGTGTTTCTCGAGGCAGCCCTGCCCACCCGTCCTCACTAACTCCTGAGGTTCTCTGGCAGGAGAGGACAGCAGGTGGGATGCTGGCGCTGCTGCTTCAAGAGTGCCTGCTGACAGCTCTCGGGGGTTGTGGACGAGCGGGCGAGGTGTGGCTTCCTCCTGTTGGAGGTAGGACCCTCACTGGCTTGAGATGGATGGGGGTGGAAGGGGTAGAGGAGAAAAGGAGATGGGGGAAAGGAGGGAGAGGGGGTTGGAGGGGGTAGAGGGGGATGGGGGATGGGGGAAGGAGGGAGATAGGGGATGGAGGGGGAGGAAGGGGGATGGGGAATGGAGGGGGTGGAGAGGGATGGAGGGGGATGGGGAAAGATGGAGAGGGAAGGGGGGCTGGAGGGGTTCATAGTCATGTGCCTTAAAGACTGTTTTAATGGGGAGCGAGGCCGACCCCAAGGAGGAAGGCAGTGTGGTCCGCTCTGCTCTCTACTCCACTGCGCACAGGCACAGGGCTGGGGAAATGGTGCCAGTCAGCCCCCGCTGACCACCTCTGCAGTCCCTCTGTGTCCACAGCAACCATGTTCCTCTGATCTGGCTGCCAGCTAGCCATGACGCGTGACCTGAAGTCAGAGAGGTAGACACGCACATCTACCCCTGCCCGTCCTCTGGCTCTGCAGTTCCGTAGATGCATTTCTTAAGAAAGAGCAGAGATTTGTGTCCCACATACAGGGAAACATCCACAGCACCGACCAGGAAAACATCTATTTTTACCGTCAGCTGACAGGAGTGCCGTCTAAAACGCTGTGGTAATCAGCTGCAGGGAAGAAAAACATTCAACGCGTGAGACACAAAGCTGTTTTTAAAGGAAATCAAGCCAGCATTTAAAAACTTTTCTTAAAAAAAAAAAAAGCTGGATGAAATAAACAAGTGGGTAGGTGTGCTGGTTTGTTTCAATCAAGTGTCTTTATAGAAAAGGGCAGCTGACCCTGCACCATAACCAGCTGAAGTCACCAGCAGGAAGCACCGTGAGGACAGCTTCTCTGGCTTCCAGGAGCATTCCTGGGAGGAGCTGGGGGCCCTGGGAGGCGCTGGGGGCCCTGGGAGGAGCTGGGGGCCCTGGGAGAGGCTGGGGGCCCTGGGAGGCGCTGGGGGCCCTGGGAGGCGCTGGGGGCCCTGAGAGGAGCTGGGGGCCCTGGGAGGAGCTGGGGGCCCTGGGAGGAGCTGGGGGCTATGGGAGAAGCTGGGGGCCCTGGGAGAGGCTGGGGGCCCTGGGAGGCGCTGGGGGCCCTGGGAGGAGCTGGGGGCCCTGAGAGGAGCTGGGGGCCCTGGGAGGAGCTGGGGGCCCTGAGAGGAGCTGGGGGCCCTGGGAGGAGCTGGGGGCCCTGGGAGGAGCTGGGGGCTATGGGAGAAGCTGGGGGCCCTGAGAGGAGCTGGGGGCCCTGGGAGGAGCTGGGGGCCCTGAGAGGAGCTGGGGGCCCTGGGAGGAGCTGGGGGCCCTGGGAGGCGCTGGGGGTCCTGGGAAGAGCTGGGGGCCCTGGGAGGCGCTGGGGGGCCTGGGAGGAGCTGGGGGCTCTGGGAGAAGCTGGGGGCCCTGGGAGGCGCTGGGGGGCCTGGGAGGAGCTGGGGGCCCTGGGAGGAGCTGGGGGCCCTGGGAGGCGCTGGGGGTCCTGGGAAGAGCTGGGGGCTATGGGAGAAGCTGGGGGCCCTGGGAGGAGCTGGGGGCCCTGGGAGAAGCTGGGGGCTCTGGGAAGAGCTGGGGGCCCTGAGAGGAGCTGGGGGCTCTGGGAGGAGCTGGGGGCCCTGAGAGGAGCTGGGGGCTCTGGGAGGAGCTGGGGGCCCTGGGAGGAGCTGGGGGCCCTGGGAGGCGCTGGGGGCCCTGGGAGGAGCTGGGGCCCTGGGAGGCGCTGGGGGCCCTGGGAGGAGCTGGGGGCCCTGGGAGGCGCTGGGGGCCCTGGGAGGAGCTGGGGGCTATGGGAGAAGCTGGGGGCCCTGAGAGGAGCTGGGGGTCCTGGGAGGAGCTGGGGGCTCTAGGAGGAGCTGGGGGCCCTGAGAGGAGCTGGGGGCCCTGGGAGGAGCTTGGGGCTCTGGGAGGAGCTGGGGACTCTGGGAGGAGCTGGGGGCCCTGGGAGAAGCTGGGGACCCTGGGAGGAGCTGGGGGCTCTGGGAGGAGCTGGGGGCCCTGAGAGGAGCTGGGGGCTCTGGGAGGAGCTGGGGGCCCTGGGAGGAGCTGGGGGCTCTGGGAGGAGCTGGGGGCCCTGGGAGAAGCTGGGGGCTCTGGGAGGAGCTGGGGGCCCTGGGAGGAGCTGGGGGCCCTGGGAGAAGCTGGGGGCTCTGGGAGGAGCTGGGGACCCTGGGAGGAGCTGGGGGCCCTGGGAGGAGCTGGGGGCTCGCTGGAGGAGCCCATCCCTTTCTGCAGCATTTGGATGCTGGGGAGAGGATCGCAGCTGGGAGGAACTGCAAAGCGGTCACGTCTTCATGGTCCAGGTGTCCACGCCCGCCCAGCTCCACGTGTTATTCTGTTACCCAAGAAGCCACTGCGATAAGGAAATGAAGCTCATTAGGCTCAGCTGTGATTACTAGAGCACAGGCAGACCCACACGTGGAGAGAATGGAGGACAAGTGGGCAGCAAAGCGGGCGATGGTTTTCTGCGACCGGAAGTGACCCACAGACACGGCCGTGGGTCCTCGGGGAACTGGCCTCATTGGCTGTGGTCTGACGGGTGAAGGCCCAGCTGCTGTGGTGGATGGAGACCCCAGAGACTTTTCGGGGCCATGCACTCAGCACCCCTGCAGCCTTGCACGGGCCAGGTTTGCTGGAGGCAGCTTTAGGCACGGAGTAACTGAACACGAACCAGTGAGCATCTGGAAGACCTTCCTGTAGCCCGTGAGGGAGGCCCAACCACAGGTATGCTGAGCCCTCAACGTTGGTTTTCTTGGAATTGTGTTCAGGCTGAGGGGGACTCCACAGCCACGGACTCCTGGGGGTCTACGGGTGCAGCTGCTTCTGCGGCCTGTCCTCTGCCTCCGGGCAGCTCACAGGCTCTTGGGCCTGCCACGGCTATGTCTCCCATTGACCTATTTTGTAAGAGGAATTCTCCTAGTGGTCAGACAGAGCAAATGCAAGGGAAGAATTTATGTGGAAGCTCATAGTTTTGCAGGCATCTCCTTCTAAGCTTACCTTTCCGTGGTTTTGATTTGTACAGTTCCTTTCAAAGCTCAGCAAACAAGATGCAGAAAGTTATTCTCACCATTTTTCTGTCCTAGCCATTTCTGAACCTAAGAACCAAATCAGACGCCCCCAGGATACGCTCTCCTGCCAGGCTGCGAGTCCGGGTTGCCTGGTCTGATCTATTCTTACAGCTCCTAACAAGGTAAGCAAGCATCAAGTCTTTTCTTTTTAAAAGACCAGATGTAGGATAATGTCAAGGGCTCAAGGATAAGAAAACAAACTAACTCAAATGATAATGCCCTGTACATTTTTAAAAGCTAACAAAAAGAATTCTGAAAGATTTTACTGTAAAAAAAACCATCTATGTTTTTGCCCTGATTCAAGCATCGCACAACAGAAAACGATAACATGGTACCCATCACTATACCCAACAATTAAAAATAAGAATTTTACAACTGTCTTGTGTCTGTGAACAGAAGAGCCAGGGTTGGGCTTCTGTGTTTGGATGTGGTGGTCTTGGATTTTGAAATTCACACCTTCCAGTAGAAATATCAGAAATTGTCCTTTCAATGTTCTCTCTCTTTCTCTCTCTCTTTTTCTTTCTCTCCCCCCCACCCTGTGTCAATTGTGGGGCTTGAACTCAGTGCCTGGGCGCTGTCCCTGAGCTCTTTCCTCAAGGCTAGTGCTCTACTAGCCACAGCACCACTTCCAGTTTTCTGGTGGTTAACTGGAGATAAGAGTCTCATAAACTTTCCTGCCTGGGCTGGCTTTGAACTGTGATCATCAGATCTCAGCCGCCAGAGTAGCTAGGATTATAGGCATGAGCCACTGGCTCTTGGCTTCAATTTCTAGTCTTAAGAAGCCTAATTGTCTTGTGGACTCTGAACTGCCACATTTGAAACTCTTCTAAGGGAGAATCACATGCCACAAGTTATCTTTTTTTTTTTCTCTTGGCTGCAAAGCTAATCTTTATCTTTGTTTCTTAGTTTTTGTGTGTGCACTTAGTGGGGCTGGAACTCGGCCTTGAGCTCTTACTCACAACACAGATTATCTTGAAGATCCCTCTAAATACCATGCTTTTACTCATTACTTATCTCTGTGGTTTTGAGGATGTAACAAGTGCCATTTGTGTGCCTAACATCCTGCTGTAAATGCCAATCATCATGTTCCAGGGAATGTGAAGTGGTCTCACATTTCCTACTTATACTCTTAAGCCCTTTCTGTATTTTCTTGTCCTCTTCCTTCTGAACCTGGTGACTGATGAGCCATTTCTTTTGTAATGAAGATGCTAGACCATTGTTAAAACATAGAAGCGTTAATGAAGAAAACCCACGTGCACTGGTCTGGCCCTTGATGCCTGTCACTTCTCAAATCCACTGCACTAGATTGTTTTCTTTCTCTGCATGTTCATGTGTGTTAGTCCTGGGGCTTGAACTCAGGGTCTGGGTGTCCCTGAGCTTTTTCGCTCAAGGCTAGCACTCTACTATTTGAGCCACAGCTCTACTTTGGCATTTTGCAGATTAACTAAAGATAAGAGTCACATGGACTTCTTGCCTGGCTAGCTTCCAGCTGTGAACCTCAGAGCTCAGCCTCCTGAGAAGCTAGAATTACAGCATGAGCCTCTAGCACCTAGCAACTTCCCATTTCCACATTCAGGCTGTAGACACACACATATACATGGACACACCTGTGCATATACACACATTTCTAGTCTCAAAGGAACTTGAGTTGGTTCACTAGAAAACCAGTTTAAAGCAACGTGGAGACATGTGTTCCGTTTGCTTCAGCAACCCAATCACAGGCCATGCTTGCTCAGGTGAATGCCCACCTGAGGAGGGCTTGGATGGGTAGTGCTGGCGATTCCCATCAGTGCTGCGCCTCCCCTGGCCCGGGCAGCGCTGGCGTCTCCCGGGGACGCCACGCTTTGTCAGCTGCACGGCTGTAGGATTACAGTATGGAGCTGAAATAATCCTAGAACAAATCCGTGTGGCTTGAGATGGAATTGGATCAATCCCTGAGAACTGCGTAGTTGACCATCGCGCCACCTGCAGCATTTAGAATGAGGACAGCCTTCACCGGGGCCTCTCTGCAGGACCAGCAGTTTGTAGGACCCGGGCGGGCACCAGGCCTCGACATGTTTTCTTTTTGTTTGTTTTTTTAATATGCTGTGCTAATTTCTGGAAATGGTATGTGGGCATAGAACACGGGCGAGTTGGGAGCAAAGACAGTGTGTCATCGTTTCTGCTGTCTGTGCTCTGAGCGTGTGTGCATGTGTGTGCATTCTCCCTTAAGCACGCCACTCGTGGTGCTGGGCCCTCACATGCCGGCCAGCGGCTCCCCAGAGGAGGGCTGCCTCTGCGCCCGTGGCAGGGACGTGGCGGGCTGGGTCAGCATGACTGCACAAGGCTCACTGGGAACAGCAAGCTCTTTTAAAACGCTCTCCTAGCGTATATAATTTGCTTCTCATAATGAAGAGAGGCTGTTCACACTGTACTCAGCCTCCTCCCCCCCCTTGTGAATAATTTCTTCAGGGGAAAAGCTGCTGTTGTGTGCAGTGTGTCACGACGCCGTTGCGTTGGAAATGGGCTTTGACAGCATCCTGCGAGGAGCCGCTCCGCGCCCGGCTCCCTTCTGTGTCTTTCTGGACCCCACTGCAGGCGCCGGCGTCCGCAGCGGTTCTGCCAGCAGGGCAGTGGCGGCGACCACGGCGTTGGTGCGCGTGGCTGGCCCCTGCGGAGGGAGGCGGTGAGGCAGCGGCACCTCCCTGCAGATGCGTTTGCCTGAGCCTGTTCCTGATCGGGGCACTGTAGCACTGCAGTGCTATTCGATTTATGGTTATGTTTTTGCCTTCTCTCTGCTGCAGGGCGGGGAGGAGATGTGACAAGGGGGCACTGTCTGGAACAGTCTAACAATAGCAATGCAGCTGCACGGCCAGGAGGCTGGAGGTCTGAGCACAGGGGGCACGTCTGGGCCTCTCGGGACCCCAGGGTCTGCTCCAGGCCGCTCGGTTCTTGGCCCCTGGCATCAGGGACTCACTTTTACGTGGTGTTCTCCTTCCTAAAGGACTCCTATTGGGTTAGGGCCCGCCCCACGCCAGCCAGGCCTCCTTTACCCCATCCTCCACAGGAAGTCACATTGGGAGCAGGTGGGGTCGAGTGAGACTCCATCACTAGGATTTGGGAGATCCAGCCCATGGGTTTGGCTCTCAGAGAACCAAATTTTGTGAAACACAAGAGTGTGGAAATAGGTCAAGTGAAATTGGTAATTTATTTCACCAAGTCCTTTGGGTGTTTTAAGGTAACAGCCCAGGACAACACGAGGCTGGTGAGGATGTCTGTCAAGGTCAGCAGTGGAGGTCAAGGGTACCGCGCCGTCTTGAGCCCCGGATGGACTGCACGTCACTGTGTCTGTCCCCTCTGCTCCTGAGTCACACCACGGCTGTGTGGAGAGCACTGTGCAGAAGGGGAACCCAGCCAGGCAGACCGCTGCGCTGTCAGAGGGGCCCAGCTCCGCAGCAACGCGTCCGTTTGGTCCCAGGGAAGAGCCAGCTCTCCTCTTCCCGTTAGAGAGCCCTGTCCCTCGGTCCTTCCCTTCTAAAAGAAAAGAGGCTGAGGGGAGCGATCAGTGCACACAGGCAGAGTAATTTCCGCTGTTCTGCAGGCTTCCCGGAGAGCATTTGAGCAAGTCTGATGCCAGCTCACCCATCTTGTGTCACCGTGATTCTGGGACTTGGGACTCCAGCCATTCCCATTGCATTTACTCGATAAAATCTGGCTCATTAAAGGCCCATTTTCAAAAGGGTGCTTCAACTGCTATTTTCTTTTCTTGCAATCTGTTGCTTGTGCAGAGGGCTTCTTGGAAATCCCTTTCAGAGGATTGTTTCTCTTCAGCCAGTGGCCCCCGTTCTCTTGGGATCGAACTTGTATCCAAATGCTCCTGACTTCTGCGCTCCTTTGCTGGGATTCTTATCCTCCGGGAGTGCAGAGGTAATTCTCAAGAAAGATCACTTCCTTCATTTCTCTTACAACTACTTATCTTCCCCAACACATGTCTTATAACGGGGCTAAGATTTTCCTGGATCAATATTTCCGCTTGAGAGTTTTCTTTTGGGTCCCAGGTGGCCTGTCTCCAGGTCCCTTCCTGCCTGCCCCCTGCAGGCCCACCCTGTGCACAGACAGTGTTTAGGAGGTGTTCTCAGCATTTGCTTCTGGATAATCTGCATCCCAGTCCTGCACAGCAGCACAAGGAGACCGTGGTCCTGCAGACCCAGAGCCCTGGTGGTGGACGGTCTTGTCTAGCTCTGCCCACTAGCCCTGCTCAAACTGCCCTGCCTCACCTATGAAGGGGGAATGGGGAGGTTCAGCCATGAACCAGCGTTATATTTGCAGGGCTTCCAAAGAGACAAAGAGACGCCATGCTGAATTCATGAACCTCCTTTCAGCAATTCCCAACACACACCTCAGGATGAAAGCTCTTTTGTGTGCCCTGACGGCTGATTCTCACAAGGTCTTTAACCCAGCATCTCCCAGAAGTCTGTCGATGTTCAGATCTCTCAAGACGCCATTCTACTCCAGCACCCTGTCTAAACTTCCTCCCTCATCCGTGTTCCTTCCCTAAGCAAGAGGACCAGTATTTCCTTCAGTGTGCACCTGTGGAAAATTCCAGAAACCGGGGGCTTTGCAGATGCCCACTAAGAATCCTCTCCCATCCCCTCCCCAGTGGCTTTTGCCTGCAGTTTCCAGTGGTCAGGCTAAACATTCTTGACATGTCTTCAGCATGGTCTTTTGTTTATTACAAGAAACGCCTCACTTGTCTGTTGTTGGCCTGTGGCCTTCCACGTGACGACCTCGTGACAGTTGGCACGTGGGCCACCTTCCCTCTGCTCTGTTGCTCGGTGCATGTCCCAGGTGAAAGTGAGTGACATTGCTGGTATTCTTCATCCTGACCACTCAGGATCAGTCTTCAGCTCCTCACTGGCCTCATTTTGCTGAAAGATAAAGTGACTACATTGTGCATCAACTCTGTACAGAGTCTTCCGTGAACTTGAAACTCATTTTGCCACAAAACAGGAAGTATCTGGGATTTGGCCTTTGTTGTCTTTTTCTTAATAATGAATTGGACATCTTATAAAGATGAAAAGGACAAAGATGGATACTTGGAGTAAGCGATTTTCCTGGCAATCTTTCTTAAAGATAAATGCATTGGCTATAGAGGTGCGTAGTCTTGCACCCAGAGCAAGATTAAATTGGATCAGACTCAACCACCAGCTCCCAAGGGAAGGAGTCACATGTTCTGGGTCCTGAGGTGGACGTGTTTCCCCAAGCAGCTGTCTCTCTCCCCAAGACAGAAATGGGGCAAGAGAGGCCCTGGCTCCCGAGGCGCGCAGGGCTGGACGTCCGCTCCTGGATACTGTCCTTTCCTTGGGGGCGACCGACCCCAGCCAGCTGCTCACAACCCCTCTCCTGCGGTCCCACGGCGTGTGTCATTGGGCATGCTGTCTCTCTGAGCCTCAGGATTTTCTCATCTATAAAATGGAGCTTTGATGAGCAAGTTAGGTGGGAAAAAAATTGAGTGAGACCCTGTGACTGATGCCAGGTGTTTGAATGAATATTTGTCCCCCCAGAAGTCCTTGTCCTGCTCCCAGCAATCCTGCTGGGTGGAGCCTGAGCAGCCTCCAGAAAGGAGGGGGGAGCTCCTAGGGAGGGAGTAGAGGGGTAGGGGGTGGGCGTGGATGAGCTCCTGGGGGGTAGGGAGAGGGGTGGGTGTGGGTGAGATGCTGGGGGGGAGGGGTGGGCCTGGGAGAGCTCCTGGGCGGGTAGAGGGGTAGTGGGGGGTCTAGGGAGTGCTGATCTTGCTGCAGAGGTGCAGCGGGGAGGGCAGACCTGCGCTCCAGCCCCTCCTTCCCCAGCCCTCCGTTGCCAGGCAGTTTCTATGGCAGCAGCATCCTCAGACTCAACTTTCACCCTCGTTTAGAGCCAATTAAGGTAAAATAGTGAGGGAGGGAGCGGAGCTGCGGCGTAAGGAGGAGGCAGGGACCAGCGTCGCTGCGAAGTGAAGAGCTGACTCCCTCCTGCCAGCCGCAGGACAGACTCCAGCTACAGCCTCCTCCTCCTGCCTCCTCCCGCCACCGCCTCCCGGCTGCCGCCTGCCGCAGCCCCACTGGAGTCGGGATTGGCAGGGGACCACAGGACTCGGCAGCCACCCAGAAGACATCCGAGTCCTCCCTAGCACCCGACTCTCAGGGTGCCACCAGCTCCTTCCCGTGTCCGGCTCCAGCCTTGGCCCGCTGCCCTCAGCGTGTGGCGGCTTGCTGCTTGGGCTTTTCTGAATCTGTTTATTTTCTCTCTTACTATCAAGCTGAGTGCAGAGGAAAAGCAAAGTTTGTCTTCAAAATGCCGATCGCACAGTTACTGGAGCTATGGAAAAAGATAGAGGTGGAGCCCATGGAGATCGAGGTGAGTCTGCAGGGGGCGGCACTTCTCCGTGGTTTGGGGGGGGGTGCAGCACGTGCAGGGACGCGGCCGGGAGCCCCTGCAGCCGGGAGTCCCTGCGGCCGGGAGCCCCTGCAGCCCGGGAGCCTGCAGAGGCACCGGTTAGGTGGTGCACGGCTCGGCACGGCTCCCTGTGCACACATGGTGTCTGTCATGTGCACTGTCCGTACATGAATGACACAAGTAGAAACCCTGTTGCTGTCCCACCGCCCGCCCACCAGACTGCTCCTCTCCGTGTCTGTCTCCAACTGCTTTCCCTTCAACAAGTGGCTCTGAGTTCTAGACTTCATTTACCACAGGGAGGCATAAGACCCGAAGGCTTGGCGCCTGAGCTGTGCTGTGAGGCGCAGGCAGAGGTGCCCCAGTGTGTTCAGACTAACGGGGGAGGATGGTGAATGATGCTGGGTTCACTAGTGAATGAATGAATGAATGCATGCATGCATGCATGCCAGCGGCACTAGCTCACTGGGTCTGCTCAGGTGTGGGCCATGTGCCTGGTGCACCTCCGCAGGGAGGTGGAGACCTCTGTTCCCAGGAATTTAATCTGTTCCATTTCAATTACACACTTAGAATTTTTTTTTTTCCTGAGAAAAGGCAGTTTCCCAAAGTTAGGCACAGCTACTAAATCCCTAGCGGTGCCTGTGCTGTGCTGATACAACTTCAAATGCTATTGAGAAGTAGCTAATTTCACAGCTTACTAAAGCTCTCCCAAATCCTCACCCATCCCCGCCATCGTATTTACTCACCCAATGCTGTTTTAAATTGCATGTACTTTTACAAACACAGAGTACACATCAAGACAGTCGTGCAACGTGGTTTGTCAGTGGCGTGAGGGATTCTTCCGGGGAGGGGAACATACATGATGTTTTGTAATGAAGACTTTTCTGGAAGGCCAAATTCACA